CATTCTGGGTTCTCACAGTAGAGAAAAACAATTCTGGATTAAATGTTTGAAGTGATGTACATGTTAATTATTAATTATTGTGCAATTAAAGGGGGTCCAAATGGTCCTTGACATAATTTTAGCCAAATTTCACACACACACCTGTAGGTTAAGCATTTAATTTCTTAGTCTTGATCTATTCGTGAAACCATCTTCTGCCACTTCAGATCACTTTTACAAGGCTAGGAAAGTCTAATGGCATGTAGAAAAGAAATTAGCCTCACCTTATTATCTAGCAGAAATTGTTTCAGTTCCAAAGCTCTTTGTCTCTTCTTTTTCAATTCAGCATCACTAATATTTACTAAGGATAATAAAAGATAAGCATTCTGTAAATTTATCAAAATCATCTTCCTCGTGATTCTAAATTTAATTATTACCAATTAATCATATACATACATGTACAATGTACACTGTATATTACTTAAACATTTCTGCTTCCTTATAAGACATATACAATCTATATAATTTACAAATTAATGTCAAAATCTGATAAGTACATGTAGTGAAAGGTTGCTTCAGCCTGTGAGCATGCTCATTTGGGATTACATGTTGGATCCCACACATGAGTGATCATCAAAGTCATATGATCACAATGAGCAGTAAAGNATTTAATCTTATTTCTTTGTTTTTATTTTCAGTTAGTCCAAGGCAAAATGGCGGACATGTACACTCGCCTGAGCGCTTGTAGGAGTTATGTGTACTCAGTGGCTCGTGCTTGTGATGCTGGGCATGTTAATACCAAAGTGCGTTCTGTGAATTGCTGTAACATTGCTAGTAAAGCTGCACTGTCAAACTCAGAATACTTTAGCATGCTTTATCTTCACTTTGTCTGGAGTGTTTTTTCCTCGCACTAGTGGTCATCGTCGTACATTCATTTCCATTGGTAAAGCCTGGTTCACACTTGTGAGATAAGCGTAACACTAGTGAAATAGGCATAAGCACTGAAGCACAAGAAAAAAACGGAACATGGTTGTTTTTCTTGTGCGTATTCCACTAGTGTTATGCTTATCCCACAATTGTGAACCAAGCTTAGTGGGAAGTTTGGATAGTACTGGAGAAGCTAAGGTAGCCGGCGTCTTTTTCCGAGTTCTCACTTCTTCCTCCACTCCGAGATTGGACCCGAAAAATTGTTGACGAGGTCTTTAGAGATCCTTGCGGAGTCTGTGATTGGTTCTTGTTTGCGCGCGAAAATTCAAAACAGAGCAATAGCCAATCACGACACTCCACGGATCTCTGTACTGTTACGTCATCAGTGAGGAATTTTAGACGCCTCTCCAGTGGGCTGAGAATTCAACGCGTAAATATATGAGTTGTCTCGTTCACAGCTG